GCGTTCCTATCAGACATGGCCTCGCGAGAACATCTGGAAGGTCGTTGACGTAGATCAGAAACAGCAGTGGTCCCAGGACGGGTCCTTGAGGAACTTCACTGGAGACCGGCGCTGGAGAAGATTAGGTCGAGTCTATTTCCACTCGGAATGACCTGTCTGATAGGAACGCCTTGATCCAATGAAGGATTTTCCATTGAATCCCTTAAGACACGAGTAGAGCTGGAGACATCAGGTTGCTGGAAGTAAGGTGACCTAGGATAGCTCGCTTCAGAATGCGCTCCATCACCTTACACGGCAAGCCAGTAAGGCTTATAGGCCTGTAGCCGCCAGGCGATAATCGGTCACCAGTTTTGTAGATTGGTGTGACAATCGCTTCCTTCCACGCAGAAGGAAGGCGGCCTTCGTCAAGCGACTGGCGAAACACCAGGTGTAGATGATTTGCCAGTGTGGACGACGTTTCCTTCAGGATGGACCTCGTCGGGCCCCAACGCGCAGAACGGGTTGATCTTGTGCAAGAGTTGACGAATGTCCTCCACCGTGAGGACCAAGTCGGTTAGAGGCTGATCGTAGTTACGCCTTGACAAGAGTGAACGTGACAAGGACGCTGGGGCTGAGTATAGACACGCATAGTGTTCTCTGTAAACCTCAGCTACCACTGTTGGGTCATTCGTCGGTTCTCCGTTTCCGTCCCTCAAGAACGCAGATGGCTTGTTTCTGCGGCGATGTCTGATGTATTTGAACAGGACGTTTTTGTTTTTCGAGCAAGGTCCAGGATGATGGCTTGTTGTCGTATGTTCCATTGGCGGATTTCTGATTTACAGCGGCTCCGCATTTTACGAAATGCCAGCTCATCTTCCGTATCCCTTGTAGCCGACTTTTTGAAAAAAGGTTGGGGCCTCTTTTCCAGAAGACACCGAATCCTTTTTTGCAGTCTGTGGCTCGTCCGAGTGCGTGCTGCTTTTTTGGGACGGACATCGCATCAACCTCGTGAACTTTGTGGACAATGGTCCCATATAATTCTTCCACTGAAGCCGGTCGCAATTTAATTGTTCAAGAAAGATGCGCATTCCTGAGAAGTCTGCACGGCCGAAGTCTCCAACCTCAAACCACGTTTGAGGTTCGTGATTTCTGGCCCAATAGCAGATGAAATCAAACGTCAGCACACAGTGGTCGCTGTGTCCTAATGGAGCGTTAATTGTTACCTGATCAACGAAGTGTCTTTCGTTAGTGATGATGAAGTCCAGGAGGAATGTCAGTTGGCCTGCGCGGTATCTGGTGGGGGCAACGACATGTTGAGTCCAAGCACTCTGTTGAACGACTTCAATCAGTGCCGCTGCAAAAAGTCCGCTTGATTCGACGCCCTGGAGCTCCATTCAGGAGGTCTTTGGAGCGTTGAAGTCACCTACCAGCAGGAGATGAGTGAAGTGGTAGTTTGAGGAGAGTTGCTCAGGGGTTTGTATGAGGAATTGGTCATCTTCAGGGGGACTCGAGGGGCTACGGTAGACCACACCGAGTAGGAGAGAATCGGACCCGCGCAGCGGGATTTGGATCCACAGTGCATCGCGAAAAGGTGCAGGAGTGGTATCAGAGAGGACAATCGGGATCGGTCGGACCGAATGNTTACTTATGCCCTGTTTGAACAAAGCTTGGCAAACAGGTTTTTCACCGTTGACCCAGCAAACATACGGCGGGGATATAGTAAGAAAATTCTCAAGCTCAGAGCCCACACGTTCATCACACAAAATTTTTTCTCATACCGAGTAGTATCTGGGCTTATGCTATTACCACAACCACGTAAACAATCTCTTCTTGGTTCGCCCCATACAAATTGAACATGCACGATAATTACCTCGTTTGTGACTGTATAGTTACACATAGTCACTGAATGGCGCATTAGGTATCACTGTTTGTGTCAACAACACTTGCATCACATGCATGTAGAAACCGGGGCGAGATGGCCGAAGTGGTTAGAGCGCGAGTTTACTAACCTGAAGGTCCGTGGTTCGAATCCGACCTCCGCCACTCGACTTCCCCTGTCTAGGCTTGGGCAACCTGGCAGTATCCCAGCCCTCGTGCTCCCTTCGGGTGGCATGGCAGCTAGGCACCGGAAGTGTGCTACAGCTGAACGCTTTCTTTCTTTTCTTTCTTTATGTAGAAACCGTGTAAGTAGCCGGGGATTACATTTTTTAAAAAAACGTTACACCTTAGGCAAAGGCGGAATGCAACTGGAATAAATAGTGAAAAACACTGTTGCAGTGCGTATAAACCAAAGTACGGTTATATTTGTTATTAAAGTTCTACGAAACCTTTCATGAACTGGTCATAGGTGACACAAATGAAAAGCGAAAAGTTGTGGTAATAGTGATATTCTAATAGCTGCGTAAAATAAACTTCCTCCGACGGTTGTCTGCGCTCCTGGTAGAACCCCGTTTAAAGCACTGTATATTAGACACTTATTTATGCGAATCCTCGCACTGGCAAGGATACTGCCCCACGCTAAGAACATAAAGAGCAGTGCTACACCATTTTTTCACCTGTGTATTTCAGGCGAACGACAGCCACCGACCGATGAGAACGAAGGCGACCCGGGAACCTCAAGCCAAGCCTCTATCCTGTGTATCAATTCGTGAATCCATGAAACCTCGATGCCACCCTGGGTGGTGGGGATGACGTCCTTGAGTTAGTGAAGCTTTCAGAAACAATTTACATTGTATAAAAGGTAGCCATAAAAGTAATCTTATATTATGGTTGTGTTACAAGTCTCTATATTTAGAGACTTGTAACTCGCGTGGTTGAAATGATGCAACCAGCTTTACAAAAAAGCCACCTATGGTAAATTCATCGAATTAGCTTTCCGTACCGCCCAGTATCGAACAAACAACCTGGACATGCCGACGAGAGTGTCGGGAACACATCGAAACAGAACAACCGCGTGACAGCAGAAACAAGGTACCGGAGAAGTTGAAACCGCGCCATAAGTTCAAACAAACCTCAGGAAAAGTTGACCGACCCACAGCGGTCCTTATCCAGTAGAGGCAATTTTCTTCAAATCTGTTGTGTATCGAGAGAAAAACACTGTTTTAAATGTTGCATTTTGCTGCCCAAACAGGAAAGAAACTCATCTAATTTACTTTTGGTGGATTTTGTTTTCATCGATCTCGTCCGAAATTTTGGATGCGCACTCAATTTTACGCTGCATCGCTATAACTCAGCAGGTCGTCGGTTTGACTTAGATATATCTGCGCAAACATTGCGCGCGTCGAGTTATCATTCTTAATCACATGAGGCATTAAATGAGGACGTGTGGGAAAACTACCACTTGTGCCGGTAACAGAGATTGGTGACCCGAGTATTTCTAGATATTTTTTGAAAGCTTTTTCTTTCAAGTCGTCGTGATTTTGTTTCTTTTGACCGGTAATTATGGAGACACATTTTGATTCAGCGGTTTTAGTCGAGAATGAGATTAGCATACGTTTGCCAGACCACAATCCACGCAGCCCCAGGATATGGTTTCACCAGGTGGGGGACATTTTTGCTAACCGACGCATCACTTCCCAAGTCGCCCGGTTTTCTTATGTTGTCCAGCATCTTCCTTGTGATGTAGCAACAGAAATGGAAGATCCGTTGGAAGATATTCCTCGGGAAAATCCGTATGACGCCTTTCGAGCTGGCGTCATAAGTTGGACAGGGAAATCAGAAAACAAGATGCTACGGGATCTATTCACCACCGTCGAACTTGGGGACAGATCGCCATCACAAATGCTTCGCCACATGCGCAGTCTCCTCTGCGGCCGTAAGCTACCAGAGGAGATCACGGCCCAACTATGGCTCGACAAACTCCCGCTCTCCATGTCCCGCGTATCCAGTGCTTTCGTTGATGACCACAGCTGGGAGCAGTTAGCCCAAATGGCGGATAAGATACACGAAACTTATCCAAGTAACCCCGTAAACTCGGTCTTCAACCCTGCGCCCACTACTGATTCCGACCCGCTCCTTACTTCTATATCGCACCTACAAGCAGGGCTTGATACTTTCACCGATCGCCTACAACGGTTAGAGATCAACAGGCATCGACCACGTTCACGATCCAGATCGCTATCTCATGCCCGTCCCTCTTGGTGCTGGTATCATCAATCTTATGGCCCAAAAGCACGCAAGTGTCAACCACCTTGTTCCTTTAAGCCGCGTTCCAACACCCCTTTAGACAGCCCGGCCACTCAGTAACGACGACGACTGTCTGTGGCCCTCCTCGCACGAGTCGCCTGTTCCACATCACCGATTGTTCAAGTGGTCTACGTTTCCTCGTAGATACGGGAGCTGAAGTTAGTGTGCTACCACATGAGAATCCACTTCCCGATTCTGCTTCTTTCTCGTTACAAGCCGCTAACGGTACCCGCATCGCTACATACGGCGAACGTTCCCTCACCCTTGACCTTGGATTGCGACGTGCGTTCAAGTGGATCTTCCTTTTGGCCGACGTCCAAACACCCATCATCGGTGCAGATTTCCTGACCCATTACAATCTATCTGTCGACGTGCGACACAAACGTCTCTTAGACACGCTTACTTCCCTCTCAGTCAACGGAATTAGTGCCCCAACTTCACCCACATGTATCCGAGTTATCTTGCCGAATTCACATTTTGCTGACATACTTAGGGATTTTCCAACCCTTACTCACCCATGTCAGTACACCCAACCGGTCACTCATTCCGTCGTTCACCACATTCAGACGAGAGGTCCACCTGTCCATGCCAACCCCCGCCGACTTCATCCGGATAAGCTACAAATCGCAAAACACGAGTTCGAGCACATGCTCGAACTCGGCATCATCCGCCCTTCATCGAGTCATTGGTCATCACCCCTACATATGGTACCTAAGAAATCTAAAGGTGATTGGAGACCCTGTGGAGATTACCGTTCTCTCAACAACGCTACTATCCCAGACAGGTATCCCATCCCACATATCCACGATTTCGCAAGTACCCTATGCCATACAAACATATTCTCCAAACTCGATCTCGTACGAGCATACTACCACATACCCGTAGCCCCGGATGACATTCCTAAAACAGCCATCACAACATCGTTTGGCCTTTTCGAATTCACGAGTATCCCCTTTGGTCTTCGAAATGCAGCTCAAACGTTTCAACGTTTAATGGACGAGGTTTTACGTGGCTTAGTTTGTGTGTGCCTGGCTTGACGATGTTTTAATCGACACCACCTCCCCAACTGAACATGCAGCTCATCTCAGATCAGTGTTTGAACTTCTTTCCACTTACAACATACGTTTGAACACTGACAAATGATTACTCGGTGCTACTAGCCTGGATTTTCTTAGTCACCGCATTGACGCCACAGGTATTTCACCATTACTCGATCCCTTTTTGGCCCTAGAGTCTTTTCCCATACCCATCACTCTCCCCCAACTTCGTCGTTTTATATGTATCATC